TAGTCATTAGGGCCTAAAAAAACAGAACAATTTTTGTGTTTATATTTTTCAGTTCTTTTGAGCATAGAGCGAACACATGCACAATGATTATTGGAATTCACAAGAATGTACCGTACCAGCTGCTCTGTTTTCCTTTAGCAATAAATGTCTATCGAGTCCTGTATTGAACACATCAAAGGTGTGCTGTATGAAATCTTTCATTTCTTGACAGGCTTCTTCATTGTATTGACATTTCTTTCTTTGACCACTTCCTCTACCTGCCTGTCAAGCCAATATTCCATCTCCTGTTCATACACCTGTCTCTGCTGCAGTGGAATATTAGGTGGACTCTACAGAACAAACATAGCAAAACTGATAGAACCTTGTTACTTTATGTGAAAGTAAAATAGAATTACATGCAACTGATCATGTTGTTAGAACTGCACATATGCACATCCTACTGTACTGATTTTGTTCTTCAGCTATCTGGTCAAACATCTGGCTTCTTTGTTTTTGGTACCTATTGCAAGTGAAAACCAATCTCACAAATCTAATACTTTGGAAGGTATGGCAGTCTGTACTGCTTAGTAAACAGTTGGCTTCGTGGATAAAACCCATAACTACCATGGTGTGAGGCAAACACACTAACCACTGTACGTCTTGATTGGACTTTACCAACTATGTGATATACATAGCTCATTTAAATACAATAAACATAAACATAGTTATAATTATAACATATATTGAACAATCCCATCCCCAAAAAAAAACTAACATTAGATCACATGACATAAGTTTGACAACTGGTTAAAGATGCTAGCTTACATGTAAATGCACAACTGGCTTTTAGCACATGTCTACAAACTGATATCTGTAAACATTGTGTTGCAAGTCCCCCAACTCACATGTGCCGACAATGATGCTGTTTTAAATTCATACAGTACAAGTAACCTGTAGAATGCTGAGTGGGTAATATTTTTATATTGATTTTTGTTGCATTTGCAGCAAATAGTTACCAAACAATAAGAAATCTATTGGATTGGATTTACCTCTCAGCTGGCTTCACATGCATAGTTCAAGACTGCCTAACCGGTGCTTATACAAGGATTTAATTACAGCACCTAGACGGTCTGTGGTTACAGCTGCATGTAATCGCAAGAAATTGACATTACAATAAAAATTAAAAGACTGGCACTCCAATGCAATTAATAGCAAGTGAAATTCCTCGAATTGAAACATAGACTTTGAAGTCACTGATGTAGGCAATGAATAACTTCAAGTTGGCATAAAGACGAGGTAGTTTATTTAACCAGTGCTGAACTAGAAGCTGAAATTATAATTAAGTTCGTTGTCATATAATTTGTTTATTTCAATTTCTCCTGAAGTCAAATAGAATACACTGGTGAAAGGATGTTTTGGGGGTGCAGTTTACATTGTGTATGGAGTGGTAGGGTTGGATTTCATATAATTTGTTCATTTCCAACTCTCATGAAGTCACATAGAATTTCACTTAATTTATTTTCGTTTTCAAGCATTACATGTGAATCCAATTTTCACTGTGCTGTGTCTCAATATGAGGGAAATGGCATTTTCACTGGAATTTATTTTATGGAAAAATGTTTACAGTGAAAATGAAGTATTTCACATTATTACATATGTACTGCAGTTTATTTTGATTCTTACCTGAAATCAAAATCGGTATTTCCACACCACATATGCAAACAAATTAGTCCTTTCAAAAGTAGCGTTTTTCGAAACAGCAAAAAAAACTATATTTAGAAGTGCGATATTTTACCATTGGGTACATGAATATACTTGCCAACTGAAATAAATTTTGAACAAAAGTAATGGTACTTCTAGGCAGTCACTTATTTTGACTAAAACTAATTTGCATATCACCCATGCAATAAGGTTTTTGGTATTTTCACGGTCAATATGCAAATGAACATGGTATTGGCGTTCCGCTCCACTGGGATTGCTCTTGCAATTACTTTTGGGTGTCTTGGCTTGGTCGCTTTTGCTCAAACTTCACACCTTCATCAGAAAAAAATCTGGAGAAAAAAATTTGCCCACCGTTGCCATAGCAACAGCCAAAAAACTGATTTTTTGATAGCTTCGCGCTAAATGTATCTCCTCCAACAAATTTAGGATACAACATCTCAGACATAGCTCATTTTACTCAGCTTGAGTGTGGGCACAAAGTTACTTTTTGTAAAATCCTAAAACAAATTCTGACCACCGTTTCCATGGCAACAGCCAAAAACTGATTATTTTAATACCTTCACGCCAAATGTATCACACCCTACATTTCCATGATTGAAAAGCACAGACGTAGCTCATTCCACTCAGCTTGAATGTGGGCAACAATTTACTGTTTTTGTATGTCTATTTTCATTACCGAGAAAATGGACCCCAACATTGGGGTAACTTTTCACCAGCAACAGCTTTTAACTCCTCTCTTGGCTAATTTTGTTCATACATGACAGGCAGGTCGTACCGTCACTAATCCTGGCCCACAGCTACCATGGCAACAGCCAGAAACTGTTTTTTTGAATACTTTCGCGCCAACTTTACTGCTCAAATTGTTATAGTAATATCGTCTGTTGCCTTTGCTTGCTCTGCATAATAATACACTTCGCCATATTTTGCGGATCTCCTTGTCGGTGAAACGAAACTTTTCTAATATTTCACGAAAAGAAGAAAAATGACCAGTGATCGGATTACCGCCACACAATATAATTTCGTTAACAATCATATTTTCAACCTCTGATGTTTTTGACCGTCTCTTCAATATTTTACCGGTGGCAGTAACGGTATCAGCCATATTTCTGGTCGGATGTCGTGAGAAGCAACGCAGATAAACTTATTTATTCTGTGGGCGTGGTTTAGAGTGGAGACGGTTGGCGGGTTGACTTTTATTTTTCGTGCGTCAACCTTTTCACTTTGGCGCGTAGATGTTTTGCTAGCAGGCTGCACCAGACTTGATGGATGCAATTAGGACCAGAACTGGAACACACCACTCTTTGGGTCTTTAGGATCTTGAAATTCGCAATTGTTTGACAGCTAGCAAAAAGATTGTGCGACGCGCACCGTCGGCGGCGTCTTTTTTTATGACGTTTTGAACACTTAGTCAATTTGAGCAGTAATACCAGTCTTGTAATAGCAGTGTTTAAATGATTATGCCTTTTATTTTGGCTACGTTGCACACCGGTGCCGACATTGTTACAGTCAACGTAATCTCAACGCAACATTGAACTTTGAATGAAATGTAAATGCTGCCTCCAATCTAGAAAATACTATCGCAAAACGGTTGGAAATAATACATTTAACGGCAGAATACGTTCTAGCAATAAAATTAAGTGACTTCTAAAGACTGAATGTTTTTTGCGAACTTCGTATACGGTGCCCGGTTTTAGTTATAAACCGACGTTAGCTTCACGTTCATGTCCTAGCATCGCCAACCAGCCTATCGGCTTGTTTTCATTGGCAACCGGACTACTTTTATTTTGTATACAAATTTTCGTCTGCTATTTTTATTCAGTTCAAATCGCTCAGCAACATTTTTGGCATATTAAGTGTACATCACATGGAATACTACAA